GCTTCTGCCTCGCCACTCGGCAGAACAGCCTTAATGAAAGCTTCAAGCTAAACCACCTTCTACATTGTGCATGGAACAGCATGAACATTCTCGATGCCAATGAACAGGTCCGAGAGTTGCACAGCGACGTGCAGCAGTGCGACCGTGATTGGGCAGAGGTCTCAGAAGTGAATCATGATGTTTTCCTAGCGAAGCTGCGAAGTCAACCAGGCTCTCATGGAGCGCTTTTGGTTTTATCTGTTTCACTGGAGCCTCTATACGGATGCAGCGTAGGAAACGACCAGCCATGGGGCGCTTTCAAGTCATTGATTGAACAGCGTTGGCATTGCTCGATGATAGTGCAACAGTGCGCTGCTGCCCAGACCATTCAACAGTTCCGCGACGGACCGCTGTCAGGAGCTGAGGTTTAGAACATGAGATTTTGAGACCGTGTTCGCTCCACCTTTTGTTTTCAAGGTTGCAGTTCCTGCGAAGGCCCCTAGTCACGGTCGTAGACGGTATGCTGGCTTGTCCAGCCGATCGATGAAGCCTGCGGATGAAGCCAGTTGATCCCCGCACATCGCGAGCCAGATCCAAGCATCGGATACTGAGACCTCACTGTCCTGATCGTTGAATGCATGAATGTCGATCTCAGTCTTGTCCGCGTGCTCGTCTTAATGCTAGGCCCTGCGTCGTGGCAACCGACGCGCTGGCACGCGGCCTTGATATTCCTCAGGCCGCCGGCACGACAACCGGCAGCCTGACAACATGAGTCACAGCCACAAGGACAGCGTGTCACCACTCATTTGCTGCCAGGTGAGGTTCGTCATAAACTTCGACATGCCGCTGACGCCAGCAGACTACGTCCGTAGGGTCGGACAAGATAGATTGCTATCAGCATGTGCACCTGAAGCCACTGCCAGATGAAGCCAGACAGCGGCAGGTAGGGCGGACCGGACGCGCGGGGCATATCGGCTACGCGATGACTTTTGTGAACCGTGCGAATCGGCAGGAGATCTCTGGGCAGAGGGCGTCCTGGGATTTCGGGGGATCTTAGGCGCATCGGTCTGTGCCCATGGCACAGAGCCAGCTCTTGAGCTCAACCACTTCGTCCATGCAGGAGCTGCAGTGGGCCCACAAGCATCTCCTACGACTGCTCAAGGCCACGAATCAAAACGTTGACGAGACGCTGCAGCTGCAGGCCTCGACACGAGATTCCCTTGCTCATCGCAACTTTCCCCGCTGCCGAGTTTGCAGGTGGCCATCGACGCAAACCTGAAGGCAGCCTGGGTCTCAGTGCGATCGTTTCCGGTTGTCTCGGTTCAGGAAGGTTTCCTTTTCGGCTCTGTTGGCTAGGTCCGTCGAGCGCTCCACTACCACGACATGACACAGGCCACAGTGCATGAGTTGAAGCATGCCGCTGGCCTAAATCCAAGTCCTCGATCCCGACAAGCCCCGAAGCCAAAACAGCGGAAAGGCGTCTAGGCGTGATGGTGTTTTGGGTTCACTGTAGAACGCTTGCGGGGTTTGGCTTTTTTCGAGAGCCTTGTGACAAGAACCTGGAGATGCAGGAAGCAAGTGTTTGGAGAGCAGACAGTCGTCTAGTCTAGGCTCAAAAAATGTGGTTTGGAGCCACGGGATCCTGAGCTTCTCTTCGGAGCGTTTCGCAGCTAGGAGACTCACTTGTTTCCGGGACAAGTGGACTTGTGAAGTTGTGACGTAAAGCACCACAGACAAGCAAGGAGAAGTGCAAGCCCACGGCGACCACGGCGAAGCACGCTCTACAGCTCGGCTGGTTCAGAATGCATGAGATGCTCGCGAACCGCCTCAAGGATAACGACAGACAGAAGATTCACAGCGCACTCCAGGAGACCCTGGAATGGCTGGAAAGGAACCAGCTTGCTGAGAAGGACGAGTTCGAGGCGAAGCTGATTGAGCTGGAGGGCATCATGGACCTCATCATGTTGACGCCCTTCCAATAGGACGGTGGTAGCATGCCCGATGGTGGCATCCCTGGTGCGGCATAGGCCCGGCGTTGCCAGCGCGGCCCGGCGGCCCGACCGTTGAGGAGGTTGACCAAGCCTTTGAGGCCTCATGCATGGTGCAAAGCAGGCGCTCGTGCGCAATCTCCGCTAGCCTGCGCAATCTGAAGTGCTTACGAGGCTTCACTCCGGCGCTGTCACAGTGCAGGCCGAAAAAGTGGAACTCGCAAAGCTCGGGTGCGCGAAGGTCACAGTCACAGCATCGGCTGGTTGATTGACAGCTTTGCAACTGCATCTGGCTCAGCCTTGCGCATCTTCTGAGCGATCGGATTTGCAGGTCATCGGGCTGAAAGTTGCTTCTTCAGCTGCAGTTCTTTCAACCGCGGTAGATCGCAGCAGTGGGTTCTAGAAGGCAGGCACAAGACATTGAGAAGTCTGCTCGTGTTCGCGAGCCATGGTGGGTTTCCAAGAAGGGTCCGGCGAGGCGTGGCGTTTCATCGGTGCATGCGCTACTGCGCTACTGCAGCTCTCAGCCGTTTGTTCGAGTACATCCCGAATCTGGGACTTAGAACTTGGATCAGTGCGGATCTTGAGCAATCGCACCAATTCCTAGTCCTGCCAGGGCGCCGTGCGGTACTTGCAGCAGGATGTCCAAGTCGCCCTGCTCTGGAGCCAGCCGCTGGTAGCAAGACGGATGTTGGCTTCTAGAGGCTATCGTGTGGAAGCCTTCTGTAGGGTGCTAGTCGCCAAAGTCCTAGAAAGGTTTCAGTCTGCCTTGCTTCAGTACTCGTATGGACGTTCATTGTCGCAACTTCTGTTCGGAATTGGCTGAAGCTTTGACATGCTTCCCCTAAACGTTGCCATTGCAGCAGTGGTCCAAGGCTGAAAGCCGTCAACTGCCAGCTGGCGCAGAGCAATCAGCAGCTTTGTCTGCCGGGAGCCGAAACGTAGAAAGCCAGATTCAATCGTTGCTTGAGCAACTGTTGCATTGTAAGCATGCGAGCTGCGTTCGGACACGGAGTAAGCTGAAGCGCACCCCAAGCCCTGAGCCTAAATGAAACCTCTTGACGTCGCTAGATCAGGCAACAGAACCTGAACGTCGGTCTGCAGCAGCAGCCAGGGCCTGAAGATCCGCGAGCGAGCATGCGAGCGAGCAAGTGAGGGAAGCGGGCGAGGGCTCAACATGCTCAACGATGTCTGCTTGCCGGATAACGCCGGATAGTTATTTCATTGCTGCTTGCGGCACAACGCGAACCGCTTGTAGCAAGACGGATTTTGGCTCCTAGATGCCTTTGTGTTGAATCCTTCCGCAGGGTGCTAATCGCCCAAATCCTAGAAAGGTTTCAGTCAGCCCTGCTTCAGCACTCGTGTGGACTTTCACTGTCGCAACTTCTGTTCGGAGTTGGCTGAAGTTTTGACATGCTTCGCGTAAAAGTTGCTGTTGCAGCAGTGGTCCGAGGCTGAATGCCGTCCGCTGCCAGCTGGCGCAGAGCAATCAGCAGCTTTGTCTGCCGGGTTCCGAGACGTGGAAACCAAGTTCAATCGTTTTGTGAGCAGATGTTGCACTGTAAGCATGCGAGCTGTCTCCGGACACGGAGTAACCAGAAGCGCACCCCAAGCCCTGAGCCTAGATGAGGAAGGGGGGTCACTTGTGTCTTTTTTGTTGGGGTCACTTGTGTCTTTTTTTGGGGGTCGCTTGTGTCTTTTTTTATTGTCCGGAAGCAACAGCCTGCCTATATCTAAAACTATACCTATGCATATGCATATGCCTGCAATGCGGGTCGCGAGACGTGCCAAGCGGGAGCCAAATATGCATATGCTTATACATGCATACATACATACATGCATACGCATGCCGGCTTGGATAGGGGCAGCACGAAGCTCTCACTGAAATCTGAAAGGATGCTGGCACAACTAATGCATATATACATATATACATATATACATATATACACATATACACATATACACATATACACATATATACATATACACATATACACATATACACATTCACACATACATACATATATACATATACACATATGTACAGATGTACATATATACAAATATACATATATACATGTTTATATACATATATACATATATACATTTGTTTTGTTCCACGTTGTCTGCTTCTTCTTTCTTTGTGCCATTCTTCCCTTCTTCCCTTCTGCTCTTTCCGTCGTTGCTGTTTCTCGTATGTCGTATGTTTCTGTCTTTGACACTTTAGCTGCTCTGGTCGTTTGTTCTTTTCTTTGCCTCTGTTGAGTTATTTGGTCTTCAGCTCCTTCGTTTCGCTAAACACAATCCAATCCCCTGAAAGAAGCGAAGGTAAGCTTGAAAGCAATCCGAAGCGACAAAAACGATCAAACCCAGGCGAAGCCCCAAAAAGGGTAAGCCCCGACCGAAGCCCCAACGAAAGAAACACAGGAGTAAAGCCAGGCCGAGGCTTTAAACGGAGTAAGCCCAGACCGAAACCCTAAGATGAGAAGGCCCGATACCGAAAAGGAGTAAAGAGAAGCCGAAAACCGAAAAGGAGTAAACCCAAAGGAGTAAACCCAGACCGAAACCGTAATGAAAGAAGGCCCAAAGCGACAGTGGAGTAAACCGACCCCGATACCCTGAAAGAAGCGAAAGGCAAGCTTGAAAGGCCGAAACCCAAAAGACTGTGCCCAGACCGAAACCCTAATGAAACAAGACCCAAAACGAAAGAAGAGTAAACCCAATCCGATACACTTCCAGAAGCAAAAGATACGTGTGAAAGAAAGGTTAAACACCAAAAACTATCAAACCGTGGCCGAAACCTTAAAAAGAGTAAGACCACACCAAAACCCTAATGAAAGAAGGCCCAAACCAACGAGTAAGCCCAGGGCGAAGCCCCAAAAGGGCCTAAACCCAGACCGAAACCAGAATGACAGAAAGGAGGAGTAACAGCCAGGCCGAAGCTTTAAACGGAGTATACCCAGTCCCAAAAGGCAGATCTAACAGACCCAGGTAAGACACGACATTTGTGCCCTTATTACTATCTGTTGGCCCATGGAATCATTGATCGTAGTCCCAAGGCGCTTGAAGCACGCGAGCTCGACAGGCAAGAACAATCTTCACCAGCTGGGAATCAGCTTTAACATAGAGAAGGTAAAGCAGGGCCACGACAACTGTCACCAGTCGACATTGACCATCACAGCGGAAGACGCAGACGGAGCTCCGTATGCATGGAGTGGGCAGGAGTTCAAGGGCGAGGTGGTACGGAAGAAGATGAAGGCGGAGAATGCAGCAGCCAGAGCGTTTCTTGCAGATTCTGCAGTTCACGAAACGGTTGCAAATATGGATCCGGCTCATGAGAGACATTTGTCAAAGAGCCAGAAGGATAGGTTTGAGGTATTGAAGGAACTCAAACGTGCCAGCAGAGCCGCGAAAGCTGCAGGGAAACGGGCACGTCTTTGAGAGCAGCTGGGAATTTTTCGGACATATGTCTTCAATTCAACCCTATTTCTCATCCTCTTGCCCGCCACAACCTGCCAATTCAAGGAAAATCGTAATCGTACTGTTCAAGGAGGGTGACTACGGCCCTTGATTGATTTTTTGATCAACCGAAGCCAAAGGGGAAAGTTGCGGTGCCGGCAGAAGGCCTAGGAGTCTTAGGACGACAAGCATGCCGGCTTTCTCCCTTAATCCCTGTGTCGCTTCGCATGCTTCAGCTCACAGCAGTGCAGATAGTCTTCTGAGCGGTCTGCATTGCTCAAGTGGACCTCGGCCTGCGGGTTGCTCTCGTTGCTTGTTCTATTTGCAAGCGTCGCACAAAAGACTGACAACAGGAGTCGCTATGCAGTGAAAGAAGCTGTCTCTTTCTCGTTTATTCAACTAGGGCTTCTTGTAGGGCTGTAGGGCGACTTCGGAATGGGTAGCTTGTTGGTCAATGCAGAAAGTGAGACCGTTGCTTGTTGATGCTGCACGACAGCAGGGGGAGCGAGTGTGACAAAGAGACAGAGATGCACACTTACGCGAGAGACAAGTGCAAATGCGTCTGATATCTGCAGGTGTGGCAAGGCGGGCTCGCGAGGTGTAGGGCTTCCATACCCTTGTGCGCGTTTTCATATGTATCAAGTCAGAGGTTGGCAGCTACATCTGCATTGGTTTTTGACAGCACCTCCGGATGAGTGGGCGCAGTCTCCAGAATGTTTGGGGCGCTGGCTCAGCATCGATGCAAATGTTGTAAAAAACGAAAGCTTTGTCCTCACCTCGGCCTTCGCTCCCGACTTACAGGCGGTCGACAGCGTTTGTTCTTCTGTTTCATTGTTCACATGTTTGTTCTCATGAATGCCTAAAGCAACCGCGGCTTGTCCGCCCCAACCTGGAAACTCACAGAAGTTGTACTTGCTGAGAGTAGCAGAAGCAACTGTTCCCTAAAAGCTGCTAGGCTCGGTTGCTGCTGCATCGAGGCGGCGGCTTGGGACCTAGGATCCAGTTTCTCTGAAGGCTACTCAGAACCCCTGCAGACAGAGTTTGAGGTTATCGGTATTTGGTAGGACCGCTAAAGTCTCCGGCCCGGGGAGATCCCTTGATTGTGGTCTTGGGCCTACCGAAGCATTTTCTTTCTGGCTGTGAAGCGATGTGTCAGGTGTAATGCGGACAGAAAGCTCTCTGCAAAGAGTTGAGACGATGTTGCTTGATTGTGAATCGCTACGTCAACGGAATTGAATCGTGAAGGTTCCGGGCAGGCCATGTTGCTCAGCTGCCCGTCTGGCAGCTTTGAGTCTCCTGCACTGCAGTCTGAGCCAGAATCCTGAAGTTCCTAGACCTGAAATCCAAATCCCTGAACCCAAAAGCCCTCAAAACAGGCTTTTGGCCTTCATGGCGCCCGCGAGGCAGAGCCTGCGGCTTCCTCGCTTCTTCTCCGCATTGGCCGGGACTCCCAAAAGACGCCAAGACAGCCAGAGCGCGCTTTTTGAGTTTGGGCGACAGTACTGTGGCTTGCTATGTTGCGGTTGTGAAGTTAAGCTTCTTCCTCCTCCTCTTGACTTACGTAGTCCTCTGTCCACTACAGGCCGCAACGTGCAGCTGTGCTTAGAGGAAGGCTGGAGAAGGAGCATGTGCATTCCTTGCCGGACGTAGTGGGAGTTTCCATGCCTTCACGGGCTTTATGCCAGGGTCTTCCATTCCAGCCAGCTCCGGGTCTACATGAGCCATGCAGCATGAAGCTCCACCCGAAGCCGCGCATCAGGCACCCCTAAGCATCATTCTCGAATTCCCACTCCTGAGCCCCAACATCTGACTGCTGATATGAGGACGGCTTCCCTGCATCTGCTGACTTCGACCTGATTCGTGCAGCGACCTCAGCCCTGTGGGTTGCTCTCATTGCTTGTTCCACTGCACTGAAGAGCCTTGCTGCAAAAGGCAACAGATGAGAGGATGTTTGCGGGCTTGAGGGTCGTAAGGTTTAGTGCTTGGGGACGTTGGCTCATGCTGCTTGCTTTGGGCATGGCTTCCTAATTTTGCAGCTGTACGTTTCAGCCCGAGTTGCGAGACGCGCAGTCCGCCACTGTGTGTGTGTGTGTGTGCGTGCAGCGACTTAAGCTTTCGTGGGTGGATGTCGAATGGCAAACATGTGGTCAGCAATGGCGGAGTGACACTCGAGGGTACTGCGCGCTGTTGAGGAAGAGTTTTTCACGCGGCAATGCGAGGCTTCCAAGTGTAGAGGGCGGTACTAGGCGCGATGTGTTCCAAAGTCACGATGGCAAGCATTCTGGCAGACCACAGAGGCACGTCTCCTGCAAGCTCACACGGAGGCAGGTTTTTGTGCTTGTGCACTGAGGTACCTTTGAGCTTCTCAATGCCGATCCGCGATCCACGAAGGCTTTCGTACTGGGGGGTGATGTTATCTCTCACGAGGAACTTGAGTAGGTGATCGCTGTTCTTTTGATGAAGGTTTGACTTCATAGCTGAGCCTTTCTCTGCGAAACAGATTCTGAGCACGTTTTTCCAGCACGCGCGGGACTTGCCCTTAGGTGTGCTGTCTTCTCAGAGACTTCTGGTGTGGCTTGGCCGCAGCACTTTCTCGGAAACGATTCATCTCCACCCTACAAGCCTTCCTTCAGCTCACAGCGCTCCGGCTCAGCATTGTGCTGCGCTCAAGCTTGGTCTCACAAGCACTTGTCGTGCACAGATCGTGTTGTTCGAAACTCGTCAGATGCATCAGGAACAACATCCTGGAGTTCATCCATGATTTCTTCGCGTCTGCCATAACCTCAGTTGATCACACTGCTTTGGCGTGCCAAAGTCGCAAAATCGAAGGCCGTAGACCCCCCAACAGGTTTCCCAGGCTTAACCGCTTTTCAAGCCAACGTCGTGAATCAGCTGATTGAAAGTCTTTCAGGACAGCGTGGGGTGCCGGGGATAGTTTGCTTTGGAAGTTTCGGGGTGTCTCGCAATCTCAGGGCGTGATGTGGAGAAAAAAAAGCTACCCCCTGCAACTTGCAAGTCCAAACATCAATTCGGTAGTTTTCAAGTTTCTATTCACAATAGCGAGGTCTTGAAAAAGTAGAGCCGGCCAGGATCTTGTGGAGTTCTCCCGAGCTGGGATAAAACGTGCGACCACATGCGTGGACAGCAAAATACCCGCCTTTCGTGTTCTGCATACAGGCAGCTGTAGGCTTTCACCCAGTGGTCAAGATCTCGCTCGGCATAGCACCGAACTTCCGGCGAGGAGCATCTCTTCCGCTTTGCCGTCCGGTGCTGCTGGGATTAGTGATGCAGGCCCCCGGAAGCGAGCTAAGGGTTGGAGGTTCCGGAGTCTGAAGATCTACAAAATGTGATTGTGGCCCCAGAAGCGTTCAGACATGCTGGCTGTTGAGTTCCTTCAACGGTGCGGTCGGGCGTTGAGGCCGAACAGGTCGAAGTGCTTGTGAAGCCCCGACTAGTTACCGAGTTTGAAACCTCATTCATTCGAAACCCTGTACTCTCGAAGACTCGGTTTTCTCTCCGCTCCGGCTTACCGCGGGTTGAGCATGTTGAGCCCAGGCGCAGCAGCATCTTGGGGACCCAATTTTTTTTGACCCTTTTATTTTTTGTTTTTTGGCCCTTTTTTTTTGTTTGCCCTTCCGTGGGAAGGAAGGAAGGAAGGAAGAGAGGAAGAGAGGAAGGAGGGAAGGAAGAAAGGAAGGAGAAAACAAACAAGGATGGAAGCAAGAAAGGAAGGATGGAAGAAAAAAGGAACGTAATCGTATATACACTGATACCTGCGCAACACTGGACTTCATTGATGGCATTGCAGGTCACCCATGCCCGATCCCAGAGAGAACCCTAAACCCTAAACCCTAAACCAGAGGCATGTTCTCATGTGGGAAATGTTGATTTTTCCCGGGAAACACCTAGAAAACGAACCAAAAACAAAGCAATTAGTTAATCTCATGAAAAGATATAAGAAATTTTGTTTTTCCGTGGAAAACCAAGTAAACGAATCAAAACGAAAGAATTCATAGGAACTCCTTCAAAAAGTGGTATTAATCTTACGAAGCTATACATTGTTGGTTTTCCTAGGAAAAATCAAGACAACGAACCAAAGAAAAACAATGAACACCAAATAGAGAGAAATAAGATAAATGCTCCCAAAACAACTTCACTCGTTTGTTTTCCTGCGTAAACATATCTACATCCATTGACAAATACAGGTCTATGGATGTAGATATGGACATATCGAGAAAATCCTGGTTTTCCACCTTAAAACTAGATACAAGATAGGTTTTATACTAGGGAAATATAAACAAACTAGAAGTTTTCCTATGGGAACGTAGGCAACTCCCCCCTAAACCCGAAACCCGGGAACGTAGGGAACTCCCCTCCCCCCCTAAACCCTAAACCCTAAACCAGAGGCATATTCTCATGTGGAAAATGTTGGTTTTTCCCGGGAAACACCTAGAACACGAACCAAAAACAAAGCAATGAGTTAATCTCATGAAAAGATATAAGAAATTTTGTTTTTCCGTGGAAAACCAAGTAAACGACTCAAAACGAAAGAATTCATAGGAACTCATTCAAAAAGTGGTATTAATCTTACGAAGCTATACATTGTTGGTTTTCCTAGGAAAAACCAAGACAACGAACCAAAGAACAACAATGAACACCAAATAAAGAGAAATAAGATAAATGCTCCCAAAACAACTTCACTCGTTTGTTTTCCTGCGTAAACATATCTACATCCATTGACAAATACAGGTCTATGGATGTAGATATGGACATATCGAAAAAATCCTGGTTTTCCACCTTAAAACTAGATACAAGATAGGTTTTATACTAGGGAAATATAAACAAACTAGAAGTTTTCCTATGGGAACGTAGGGAACTCCCCCCTAAACCCGAAACCAGGGAACGTAGGGAACTCCCCCCTAAACCCGAAACCCCTAGCCCCGCCCCCACCCCCGCCCCCCCCCCCCCCCCCCCCCCCCCCC